TGGGGCACAACTCAGCAGCGGTGGAGGCTCAGTTGTGCTACAGCAAGGTGCCTCCTGCCAGCCTAGCCCCTGCTACTGTGTGTGTAAGGGTGCCTCACCATGGCAACATGGCTGGCATGGGGCTCCCAGAGGTGTTGGTGGCACCAAGACTTCCAGCCCCACTCTGCCCTCCCACTCCAGGTCCCTCCTACTGGGCTGCAGAAGCCCCTGTGGAGAGGGCAGCAGGGTGGGGAGCTCAGTCCCACAGCATGCGGCCTGCATCCTCTCCTGCCCGCCCCCCCCCGCCCACCCGGCTCTGCTCAGCTCCACTCTTGCTGTGCCACCCAAACGGGGGGACCAGGCTCTGCACTCCTCTCCAGCCACAACAGCCGCTGCCTCCTGCTGGCCAGCTGCAGCTGGTGCCCACGGAGCAGGAGGGTCCCATAGCCCTGGCGATTTGGGGGAGCCCTCAGGCATGGCTGAAGGAGTAGAGGGCTGTGGGTCATGAGTGAGGGGGGTGTGAGGACTGCAGGTTGGGAGTGAGGGGTACTGGCATGGGAAGGGGCAGGATACCAGCTGGCATATCGGGGCTGCTTAGCACCACAAAGCAATGAGGGGGATGACCACAGTCTTGGTGAGTGAAGGGGGTAGAGGGGGCTCTGATTTTTCCATAATAAAAATAAATAAATAAATAAAACTAAAAAATATATAGGTATTTAGAATTTATTTTACTATAATGACTGAGGCACTTGTAGGCTTCTAATTGCTGTGTAGAAAAACGTGGATTTGGGTTTTTTTTAATCGGATCATTTGCGTTTTTTAAACAGAAAACTAAGATCCCTGCTTATTACCAAGATGGTGGCAAGGTGGGGGCAATGGAAAGGGAAATAATGCTATGTAGGGAGGGGGTGGTTGAGATTATGAGGAGCCTGAAGGCCCTGCTCTGGTGGAAATGGGGAACACAGAACATGGGAAGGGATTTAGGATATGTAGCATCTCTGGCATGGTGAAAAATGGTTATCTGAAAGGTAGTCATTGGGTGGGGGGAAGGGTACAGCCCATGGAATGCTGGGGAGATGGGGCAGAGCCTGTGCAAAGGGGATCACAGGAGAAGGAGGATGCTGTTATAGGGGAGGATGATATTTGAGACACCAACATATGGAGCCTGAGGGAAATAGAAAAGTGACAAGCTAGGGTTCATGGTATATCCCCAAATAGTGTATTTACTTTGCTACTGAGGTGGGAATTTGAATACTTGCCAGTTATTCAATAGAATAATTAAATGAAGCAAGTTGGTTTTATTTGGCCTTTTTTTCCCCTCCAGACTCACTTCTGGATGACCAATGCATTTCTTAATTGATGATGTTGGGACCTAAATCTACAACTTCCCCCTTGTTCCAGCTCATAACAATGTGTACAATGCAAAGGCCAGAATTCAGGATCACAAAAACATTACTTTTAAAACTTTCTAGATGATTGTAGTTGCTTTGGTTGTGTTCTACGCTAGTAGAAGCCTTTTTCAAGGTGTACTGCTGACTTTAGGGCAGCACTTCCCCTTTTTATTGGGAACCTTGGGGGCTAGCAACATGGGAAACTCCTGCATATGTCGAGAGGATAGCGGAGTAGAAGACAATGTGGAATCTCAGAACCGGCAAGCAGAGACCAGTAGAGTACCAGTACCTGAAGCAAGAAGCTATCCAAGGGACCCTGTAAGGCCACCCAGGAGGGGTCGAGGCCCACATGAACCAAGAAGAAAAAAACAGAATGTGGACGGGCTGGTGCTTGACACGCTGGCAGTGATTCGGACACTGGTAGATAAGTAAGTACCATGCAAAAGATGATTTCAGTATTGATGAAATTTCTGCCCTAGCAAACTTTGCTTGTCTTAAAATATCCTCCTCAACCCAGAATGTACAACACTTAGTATCTTAAAGGGAATGTGTTATCTTTTTTCCAAAGATCAAAAGCTTTGAGGTGTTTTTATTTACTTCCTTGTATGTCCTTTTTCCTGAAAATGGCTCTGCAGAATTAGAGAAAAAGAGAGCACTTTGATCTTCATTAGTTTGTGCTTAACAAAGCTTTTCTTCCTGGTTATAAATCTAACAGTTTTTGGGCACGTCCCCATGAATGCACACATGCAGTTTGTAGCTCTGCAAACCTACCTACAACGCTGCAAACCACACGTGCTGCACATGCATGTGTTTTTTTTTGCACGCATCAAAAAAAGGTGGGGTGGTGCATGTGGCAGCAGCATGTGCTAGCCCAAACCAAAGCCTGGCCAACCAGAGCCATGCTCTGGCTGCTGGCCAGGATCCCCATACCTGGATTACCACAACTGATGCCCCAGGATCCCAGGTAAGGCTGCTAGGGTCAGCTCCGGTGATGGCCGCAGGCTCCCCTACCCCACCCAGGGCAACTTGCTGCACCCCAAAGCATGCGTGCAGGAGCGTTCTCCAGGGACAAGTAGCAGTGGCACAAATATGTGCTGCTGCTATTTGCCTCCAGGGAAATGCACTTTCCTGCTCATGAGGATGTGCCTTTTAAAGACAAATCATTCTGCTGTCATCTTTGCTTAGTCAGCGCATCAGTGGAGGGAGTTGTGGATGCACAAGGATTACAGGGTTCAGACTTGTTTTCCATGTTTGTTGCTTTTCGCAGAGCCCTAAAGACCTTTAAAGTGTTGAGGATGATAACTAAGTTTTTAGAATTTTATATTTAGCATTCTCACCAAAAATATGCCACAGGAAAGCTGTCTTTTCCCCCCTTTCACTCCACTTTTCTAGCACCCAAGTATATGTAATTGAGTTTCACCTGTCTGAACAAGAATGAGCATGTTGTGTGACCTGCATAGTTTTGTTGCACAAAGTAGGGAGCAAGAAAAAAATATATATTTTCAATTGAAACATGGGTAAAAATGGATGATGAAGGAAGCATTGACAACTTAAAATGGAAGTGTCTGTTTATAAAGAAGGAAGAGTTAAAGTAAACTTCTTTAAGCACTTAGTTTAAACTGAAAAAAGGGCATCGTTTTTCTGGTGGTGCTTGTGAGCATCCCCATCATTAGAAAGCACAGTAACAAACTTCAGAGAATGTATTACTCAAGAAGAAGGATGTTTTGGCTAATGAGAGATGAAATGGAGGAGTCTTCAGGACACTGAAAGAAAGAATGGAATAAGAATGATTGCAAAGCGGTGCCACAGAAAATGGCACTGAAATTACTTGTTCAACTTAGACATACAAAGTTTCTGTACTTTGTAGCTACATTTTTTTGGATACTACTGAATTGGTGGCTAAAACATGAGATTTGATCAGAAAGTCCTGTTCATTGCATCTTTTTATCATTTCCTGTTTTTTCTCCTTAACCTTCTATCTTTACATCTTTTCTCTAGAAAATAATCTCAGTATGATACCACCTTTTTCCTGTTTGTGGTATAGCCACATTGCTTTTTAAACAGCCTTTAGGTTTTTGTTTTTAAATAACTGATCACCTTTCTTCAAGTTTTATTTTTATGGCATCATATTTACTTTTCAGCAACGTAGTACATCTATTTAAAACCTTTTATTCTGAACACATTAAACTGGGAATACCAGATTCTCAATCATTCAGTTTTTAGCTGGAAATTGTTAAACATGCTGCAATTCTTTGTTTTAAGGTTTGTAAACTTTTGTCTTTTAATCTCTTTTGTCTCTCTTGTTTCTTAATTCAATTGTATTTAAAAATCAGTTCACATCAGTATGGTGCATGTTAACTCTCTTAAACTTCACTAATTGCTTTGAACACAAAACTTGTAGCAGGGAATTCTTCAGACCTGATCTTGGCATTGATTCACAGTACCATGGTGGCTTCAGTTTAGTAACATAATCTATATTTCTTTTTCTCTGTCTGCCTCTATTAGTCTGAAATCAGGCAGGACAGGATGGCACCTTAATAACTAACTCGTTAAGAAGGGCATAAACCGGGGTGGGCAATTATTTCGACTGGAGGGCTGCTAAACAAATTTTGGTGAGCTGTCAAGGGCCGTAAGGTTGGCCCCGTCCCCTTGTCAACATCTTGGGACCAGAAGTCTCAGTCCTAGCCTCTGACCTTTGCCACCAGAAGTCCCTCCCTTTGCCTCTGGCAGTACTCCTTTTGGGAAGGGGGTTTGCCATCTTGGAACAACAACAAAAAATTATATACTAAAAATCACACATCCATAATAATACATTTTAATTTTATTTTTTAAAAATATTTTTGTCCTGATTTGTATGTGTTTTGTGCAGTGTATAGAGGTGATTGCATAATAGCTCAAAATGAGGTCTTACTCTTGTATATTGTGGGGGGTATGAAGAGGCATGGGGGGTATGGGTTGGGTAGGTATGGGGTTTGTGGGGGGCTGTGGATGTATGTGGTTGTGTGTGTGGAGGTATGTGTGGGTGGTTATGGGGGGTATGTGATGTGTGGGTGGGTATTGGGATTGTGGGGTATGTGAAGGGGGAGGGTAGCTGGGGGCCATATGTGGCTGTGTGCGTGTAGCAGTGAACGGGGCTTATCCCAGAAGTGTGGGGGAGGGTGTGGGTTGGTGTGGTGTTTGTGGGGTGCATGATTGTGTGTGGGGGAGAGTGTGGGGTTGGCAGGGTGGTTTGAAGGTATGTGGGGTGTGCATGGGAGGACCTGCACACGCCTCCCTGAGCTAGTCAGCCTTTGCCCCCACCCTGCAACAGTCCAACTCCATATTGCCCAGCTGTGGCGTATCCTGTTGCCCCTGGGGTTGCAGCGTGGCTGGGGTGCCTCCTTCTGGCGGCTGCTGCTGCTGCTGCTGTCCCCAGCCCCGCAGTAGCGACAGATACCACCAAACGCAGCCCTGGTCCCACATGTTCTGCGCCAGCTCCAGGCTCACCTGTCCATGCTGAGCAGCAGCAGCCAGGCAGAAACTGTCGCTCAGCACGGCAGGAAAAGTGGCCCTTCCCCCTTGCCTCCACCAGGCAGTTTCTGGTGCAGATACCTGGAGCCTGTGCTGTGCTGCCCTGCGGCTCCATCACCATTGCCTCTGGCTAGCCCTGCAGCTGCTCCACACTGTTACCAGTGCTGCACAGGGCACCCCAGAGGCGGTGGTGATGCATTGTAGATGCAGGGCAGCCTGGCGCAGGCTCCAGGCGGCTAAACCTGGAAGCGCTGGCAGTGGCGAGGGGGAGAGGCTGCTTTTGCGTTGCACTGAGCAGCAGTTTATCCCGCACTGCTGCTTCTCAGCCTGGCCGGATGAGCCTGGAGCCAGCATGGGACGCGCAGGGTTGGGGCTGCGCATACTGGTACCTGCTGATACTGTAGGGCTGGGGGCGGGGGCAGCGGCAGCAGCTGGAAGGAGCTGCCACTGCCTGGGCTTCCTAGAAAGGCAGTCCAGCTGCAGAGTTGCCCCAGCCCTGGTGCATGCCCAGGAGGCAGCAGGATGCGCCACAGTCAGGCAGTGCCTCGGCCAGGCTGGACAAACATCTTCCACAGGCCGTATTTTGCCCACCCCAGCACAAGCTTTCATAAGGTGAGATCCTGCTTCATCAGATACTCTGAAGATATCAGATATGCCTTTCTGAACAAGTTGGTCTTTAAGGTGCTACCCTGTCCTTCCTTCTAATTGCTTGTGAAATGTGAATGATAAAATACCCATCTACCACAAGGGTATGTCCGTGAAGATTATTTTGTTTGTCAACACCCTTTGAAATGAACGTTACTGTTGATTGCTTTTAGATTTGCGGCTGCAGGGCAGGTCTGTTGCATGTTTATGGCTGCCTTCAGGGAGTACTGTTAATTGAGAATATTGGTCTCAAGTTGTGGTGCACACAACATTTAAGATCTCAGCGTTGATCTTCATTACACTGTATATGAGCTTCTCTAAACTTCATCATGGGGCTTTTTTAATGCATCTTGTAATTTGATTTTCCTGTATCCTTGCAGGATCCTTAAATCCATCCTCGAGTCCTAATGTAAAAATACACCAGTGTTGCCTGAGCTGAAGCTTCAGTTGCTTTCTGAATATTCACATGTAGCTTCTCTAAAAATGGCTAGAATTCTTTATTGGGAAAATCATATATTATGACACTGGCTTTGGATAGCTCTTTAAGTTAAATTGATATGAGATCTTGCCAGTTTCCCTCTCGTCTTATTATCTATATTTTCTTGTCTTTTGGAATGTCTTTTTACTGGCTCCGGGCTGCAGCCATCCAGCAATACGAGAACTGGGGATGGGGGAAGTGGAGCCCCTTGGCATATGGGCCCTCCTAGCTATGCTGGCTCAGAACTGGGGCCATGTGGTGGGGGACTTGCAAGGAGGGGGGCTCTGTTTCCCCCCCTCTCCCCTGGTTCCTGATGCAGCAGACAGCCACCCAGCCCTGGCCCCCCAGGCCTGAGCCAGCATAGCTGGGAGGTCCCACACACCAGAGGGCTCCGTTTCCCCCTCTTCCCCCTACAGCTGTCACTGACATGACAGCTGGTGGAAGAGGGGCCACGCTGGCCAGTCAGGGATGGTTGCTCGGCTGTGCTTGCAATATGGGCAGCCTGCTAGGAGGTAAGTGAATGCTCCTAGCCTAGGTCAGTATAGTCAGTCTGTGTGCCCCTGCTCCCCCCCCCCGTTTCCAAAACAAATGCAAGTTTATTCACTCTTGAAGCAATCTAGAGCTCCTAGAAAAAGCTGCAAAACTTGGTGTGAACTGGCTTGGACTTTCTGAATGTCTGTACTTAGCCTTCATTTCTTCACCTCCTAGTGCTGGATCCATTGACAGCCTATACCCTTTAAAAAAAATTGTTGTTTGTTTTGTTTTTTTACTGGAGCAAATCAATCAGAGTGGTATCTGTGAAATCTACTGAGCACCCTCTTACTTGCCTTATTTTCTTTGCTCTTAGTCCCAGTTTGCATGTATTGCTTATTTCCGGCTTATTAATATCTTTGGTTGTTAGACTCATCCACTTATTTTCCCCCCACCCAGATTTTTAATGACAGTGCACCTAATGGAATTTTTAGGGGGGGTTCTTTTTTGATGGAAGAATGGGGAATTGTTCTCCACAAACCCATCAAAAGACCTGTTTTCTGCTACTCAGTATGCCAAAGTCTGTAGAGACCTTGGGTTGTTTGTCCTTCAGTTAAATCTTTTTTTAGCAGAGACTTTCTGGAAAAATCATTATTTAAGCTATTTCAGCATTCTGTTCCCTCATGATCTACTCTTCATCCATTTCAGGCCCTCTGAAATGCTGTCTTATTGTATATTTTCAGGAATGTTTTGCAGTGAATAGCATTAAACATTAAATTTATTTTTAGATGTGCAAACATAAATCACTGTCTCTCTTACCAGCTGTAGAGAACATACAAAAGTTGACATTTGAGCCAGAGGAAAACATAATGCCTATCTGTTTCAGGCCTTCATAGGGTATTAAAGGCCTGCAGTCTTTATATTTTTAGGAGTAAATCCAGTACACTTCTCTGTTTTGGATGTTATTCAGTGTTTAATGTTGATAGCTGAGCATCCGGCTTGACCTATGTGATATTTGTCTTTCAGTGACCAGGAGCCTCCGTATTCAATGATCACATTGCATGAAATGGCAGAAACAGGTACTAAAGCACTTTGGTATTTGCATTATACCTGCCAGAGACAAGGAAATACCTTTCTAGAAAGATATGACTGCACTGCCTTTGATTTGCTGTTGTTCCCATAATTTGCAGTCACTGAAATACTGTTTGCATATTTTAATTCCACTGAGTTCACTGTATTTGAGTCCACTTCATAATTGTATTTCATTTTTCAATGGAAACTGTGTTGACACAGCCAGTTGTCCATTTTTACTAGGCTTTATGCAGTGAGCTATATGCCCTGTAAACTTCTGTGAAGACGTATAATTTACCTATGTATAGGAAATGGGCAACCTCTTGACCATATGTTAAGCCCCTATAATTGGGTAATGAATACAGGCCCTACATACCCACTGTGCTGCACCAGGAGTCATGATCTAGCCCTGTTTCTAAACATGTCTTCAGTTCTGAGCTGTCCTCGTGCAAGGTCCATCCCTTTCGGGTTCAGTGGATCCAAAAGCTTTATGCAGAATTCCTCTGTAATAGACCTGGCAGTATGTCTTGTTGATCTAGAATGCCTATCACTGTTGCTGGACATGGGAATGCACAAGGAACTGGAGGTTGGGTCTAATGTATCTCTTCAGAACAGTGATCAAACTAATTAATAAAGTATGTTTTCAGAGCAACACATAAATAACAGGAAAGCTCCTCCACATTCCATGCATTTATTTTGGGGTTTCTTTTTTTGTTTATTTTGGGGGTTTTTTCTAAGGCCTTCCCCATCTGCCACCTACTTTCTAATTTTCAGAGCGGGTAAAACCCATAGCCTTGGGGACTTCTTTGCTCCTGACAAAATGGCTTCAACCTTTTATCTTGCCTTCCCAACTTTCCCATTGACACAAATAGTAATTTGACATGTAAGACTGAACTTTTCTTATAACTGATTTTGGCTGTCCATCTGTGTTCATCTGTAAGTGCAAACCCTACTTGATGTCATGTGGTGAAAGCTTACAGAAGTGCATTGCCACAAGCAACAGCAACAGACCAAACTAAGGTCTGTGATTTCAGGGGAAATAAATGAGTCCTGAGTTTGGCTTGAAGGATTTTGTCTGTAATACAGCCTTAGATGCACGACTGTTTAACACCATGGATGAACGTTGTTTGCTTGACTCTCTGAGAACAAACTAAGAAGTGTACACCAAGTGCTTGTCCCTTCTGGTGTTAAGTACCCCTTTTAACTTTAGTGGGTGTTTGGGGTGCTTAGCATCTGGTATGATTGGTCTCAGCATTGTAGGTGTCAGACCTAGCTTTATTTGGGAAATACATCTTTTGTAAAGGTGTATTTTTCTTTCTCTAAAGCCTTTAAGCTGTTACAAGTTAAGATTCCAAAGACCTCACAGAATGCATTAGCTACTGCTGCTTAATACCTATTGAGATGGGACATTTAGACTACAGTATGGTGACTTTTTTATTTAATGCTACTGAAGTTTGTCTTTATATTTTGCCTCTATGTTTTGAACACTCCCAATAGCAGGACCATTCTCTGATAATTGCTTCTGTTTTCTGGTTGACAGATGAAGGATGGCTGGAAGTTGTCCAATCTTTAATTAGAGTTATTCCATTAGAAGATCCACTGGGACCAGCTGTTATAACATTACTACTGGATGAGTGTCCACTGCCAACAAAAGTAAGTTAAGTAACGTGCATTTGGTGGCTGAATTTCAATCACTTATGGCTGCCACTCCCATAGAAGTCTGGGTTGCATTTACTGGTGATGTGAACCATGGTTTAAAGTTCATCCTTTGACTGTCAGTGGCCAATAAACAGGTGTCCCTCATACATAGGGTAATTTGTAGTGACTGACATTTAGGCCCTTGGCAGACATCATTTAATGGTACAGTGGGATCTAATTGCTGATCACAGAAATAGCACCTCCTGCAATGATGCATGCTGACTGTCAGTCCCAGCCCTGGGGCATTTTTACACATGCAAGCACCACTTTTGAAAAGCGTCCAGCACTGCAACGCTTGCAGTTGTATAAGTGGCAAAATGCATATCAGTGCTGAGAAAATGGTGGCAGTGCCCTTTTTGAGCTAAAACACCTTGGAGGTGCTGACATACATTTCACCACTTATACAACTGCATGCGGCACAGCACAGTGTGCGTCACCTTGTGTGCAGAGTAGATTCAATTAATCGAGTCTGTTCTGAAGCGGCAGATCTCTGGTACGTCACGGGACAAAACGGTATGTGTATAGTTGCCCCTGGATTGCATCAGAGTCTTGAACTGGCTTTGGCGTTCTCCCAGGGCTGGCAATCCTGGGACTGCACTGGAGTCTGGACCTGGCTCCAGTTGGTTGCTTCCCTGCCCCATTTTTAATTTAAGGCATGATGGAAACCAGCCACAAAGATATTACATGTATTTTGTGGAATACTTTCAATGCCATTAATTCCTTGAACATGTGGCAGGGTTACTATTTATAACACGATTAATGGGGTTATTGTGACTTAAGTGTAACATCTGGTAGGGGTCTTAGTGATTAGTTTGACAGAAGTGTTGCAAGAAAAATCAATGCATAAAAACAGTTTGTATGTAGGGAAGAGTAGGGAGGCTTGATTTAGCTGCTTTTCCGCTATTCTTATGTTAGATTCATAGATGCTAGAGTTGGAAGGGACCTCAACAGATCATCGAATCAGACTCCCTGCCCTGGGAAGAAAAGAGTGCTGGGGTCAGATGGCCCCAGCCAGATGCCAATCCAGCCTTCTCTTAAAGACCCCCAAGGTAGGGGAGAGCACCAGCTCCAAGTTTTGGCCACTCTTACTCTGAAGAAGTTCTTCCTGATGTCCAGCCTAAATCTGCTGTGTCCGTTTGTGACCATTGTTCCTTGTTAACCAAGAGGTGCCCTGCTTTCTGTATGTGTATGTTACCCAGTAAATGCTACATCAGTATAAGTTCAGCTGCTTTGCAAGGTTCTCTCCCATTCTGAAACCTACACTTCTGGAAGTCAGTGTCAGGTTTAGCACCATAATTTGTTAGTGGTCTCTCTGATGCATAGATATGCATGGAATAGCCATTGAAATAAGTGGTATCTCACCATCTCCCTTACGGAAATGCTATACAGTTGTTTCCAATATTGTAGCTTTCTAGAGAAAAAAATTGTTCATTGAATAATGACTTAGAACCTTCTGTGTAAGATCAAAATAAATCCATCCTATTATGTTAGCTTATCCAGTTTATGGCTGAGTAAGCATTAATCAGGGATGATTTTTAGAAATAACATTCATGGAGGGGGTTGGGCCAGATGACCTTCGAAGTCCTTTCCAACCCTATTATTTTATGATTCTAACTGTATAAATTGCCTTCTCTTGGCCTTTTTAAATATCGAAATAAATTGGCCTTATTGGGGCTAATCATTGGTGCTGAGCATCCTCAAATCCCATTGAGTATGCAGAACACCCCATCTTGCAACATTTAGCTCATGTGTTTTTAAATCCTCTTCGATATTTTGTATGCCTTGAAGCTTGGCATTGGTGTTCCTGCAATATCAGTTGCCATGGGATGGGAAACTAGAAAGCTTCTAATTGGCAATGTTGTAAATGTTGTGGGGTGCATCTACAAGTTCATTAATGTGCCATAATCACGGCGTATTAGTTTAGTATCTATAATGAAAGGTACTAACTTAATATGCTGTAATTGGCACTACTGCACATCAGCGCAGATGAATGGATTTTTTGTGACACTACTGTACATTAAACTAAATCTAATGTGCATTAGCACAGGCTTTGCCCGCTATGCTAACGCGCAGTAGAACTAGTCTTCTGTGCATTAAGCGTCTCACGTAGATGTGCCCATGGAGTAGTATCTTTAAAAAAATGCTCAAAAGAGTTAATCTTTAGTGAAACTTCTAACATTGGCTAAGAACAGTCTCTGAGTGTGTCGTTGGTCTAAGTTTTAGTTGCATTTTTCCACACTAAGTCTCTGGCTCAGTCATTCTTTACTCCCTGTGCTCTTTTTGCTCTGTCAACACTGTTTATCAGCTCTAGTTTGTAGAGCTGTGTCCCCTGTTGGTTTGAGCACAATTAGATTTTTGTACAACCTGCATGCAAATAGCAGATATTAGTATCTTGCATTGGTTTACAATGGGGATTGGAATATAACTCAAAGAGCGCATGACTGTCCAGCTTAAATTATATCACTGTAATAGTCTGGGTGACTCCAGAATACAGTTATTGTTAGATTTTTAGTTGAGTTGGGCAGATTCTGAGCCAAATTCCATAACTGAACATTTCCCAAAAACCTAGGAAATGGGAGGGATTTGGAGTTCTGGTTTTGCCTATCTCTGGAGCAATTGCTGATCTCACTTTAGCCAAAGACATGTCAAACTCCATGGAAATTGGTGGAGTTACTCTAGACTTACTCTGAATTTAGTCCTATGTTAGCAAAGATAAACTAAGCTTTGGTATAAAGTTCTTTTAGTCTTGCTCTCCTGCTTGCTTAAAAGACTAACATATGAGCAAATATAAATATTTTGTGGTTTTTACAGAGTGATTTATGAAGTTGGATCAAGGGCTTTTTCTGTCACTTATAATTATAATTATTTGTAAGATTTTTCAATTAAAAAAAAAAACACCTTTTGGAAGGGGGGGATTCCAGGACACTGGAACAGAGTGAACAGTTTTCATAGTGCTGCTCCATACTTTCTGCTACCTGTGTATTACTGATTGTTGAAATTAAGGGAATGTTAGGGCTTTTAGTCCAGTTGGTGACACAAAATACATGTACTGCCAGGCATACCTTGGCACATTTGGAAATAGTTTAGTTCAGCTTTTCAGGGTAAGCTGATCTGTTCTCCCAGGATTTGAAATAGGTAAACCACTGCTTTTCACCTGTAATATGATGTCATTCTTAGTGTGGATATTGAAGTTAAGATGCACATTGGGCTGTACTGAATTAGCTGAGCAGAAAAAAGATCCTTTAATTTCAGTAGAGTTAAATAGTATTCTGTCTTGCTTTAGGATGCACTACAGAAGTTAACTGAAATACTAAATTTGAGTGGAGCTGCCGCATGCCAAGATGCTTGTCATCCAGCTAAACATCGTAACACAACTGCAGTGCTGGGCTGTTTGGCAGAGAAACTAGCAGGTAAGTAGGAGCAGTCTGAAAGCTTTGTTTGGGTGGTCCATAGTTGTTCATTGCCTCAGTATTCTCTGTTAAATAGCTGGGTGGTTCCTAGCTGATTGTGGAATAGAGACCATCTAATATTATAAAAGTCTAAGCCTGCCTGTCTGTCTGTAATGCTTTATTTATGCTCTGATTGGCTGACAGAAACAGCCGATCAGAGTTCTCCAAACATGGGGGAGTGCCGCCATTATTCCGAAGCTGCACCGAGGACCGGACAGAGGGTGGGGGAGCCAAAGCCAGCAGCTCTGGCCTCGGCTCCCCCACCCCGCTTCCTGCAAGAGGCAGAACAGCAGCATCATGGCGCGTTAGGTGGCGGTACTCCATCCCAGGCCCCCCCACCCCGGTCGTTCTTGACAGGCAGTTGGCTAGGTAAGACCTAGCGTGGCTGTTCTGACCCTGTCCACTTAATGATAAAATATTGAAAAAGTTCAGTCATCAGTGATCAGGAAACAACTGGCTGTGGTGCTGAATTTGCTGTTTTGAGTCTCTGCAATACAGGATTTTCTGATACATAGGCTTGATGTAATGACCAATGCCAGAACTTTCCTAGAATTAACCTGAGAGAGTATTTCTGTGAAAATTTCATTGTCTTGCTTACTGGCTAAAGAACCAAATTGTTAACATTAAAGTGAATGTATGGAAATACACGTAGTTATAAATGATATGTGTTCTTTCTACCAGAGACTAGTAATTTTTTTTTTGTAGGTCTCGGAAGACAGTTTCCTTAGCTACATTGTAGTTGTTCCTCCCACCCCCACCTCCAGCCGTGTGCCACTTCTCCCTTCCCCCAAGCTCCAGTGGAACCCAGCAGCAGCAGGGAGGAGCATGGCACAGCCCATTGGGGGCTGCAGCAGGTAGCAAAGTGGGGGGAGCTGTCAGTGGGGCGGATGGAGCATGGCTCTTGCTGCTATGTGCCCCCACCGGGTGGGCTGCGGTCTGGGGGGCTGTGCTGGGCTCTTCCTGGGGGGCGCATGCCCCTGGATATGCACACAGGATGAGACCAGGCTGCTGCTGGTGCCTGGGGCACTGGGCTGCTTTTGTCCCGTGTGCAGACCTGGGGCACATACCCCCTCCCCCAGGAGGAGCCTGGCACAGCTCCCCAGCCCACAGCCCTCCTGGGGGGTGCATAGCAGCAAGAGACATGCCCCCCACCACACCCCACCCCATGTTGTGCACCCACTGACAGCTCCCCCTGCTTCGTTCTCTGCTGCAGCCCTGGGAGTGGCAATGGGCTGCACTGTGCCCCTCTCCCCTCCCCTTTACTAGTCCCAGCCTTACTCCAGTCCCTGCCTCCCTCACCACCGCAGGAACATATTATTTTCCCCGGTTTAAACCAATTTTTTTTTCTTCTCTTTTCTTCCTTTTATCCTGATTTCAGCCCAGTTTTTATGTTTGAAAGATAAACCCTGAAAAACTCCCAGAAATATATATTTTTAAATAAAAACTGAAAATGCAGAACACTATGCATAGTTAGCCTCCCACTTTCACTTCCAGTGAGAAGATCTTGGCTATATGCCAACTTTATGGCAATCAGGGACTCCTCCCTAGCTTGCACCTGCAGCCATATGGCTAAGGGCAAGCAAAACTCAGGGACATCTGATTTCCAAACCTCTGGCCTTTGGCCTGCACGTCAGATGCCCACTGAAGGATTTGGAAGCATCTGAAGCCCCAGGCAGGGGTGGAGGATGCTTGCCGGTAGCAGGGCCACATATGGTTCTTGAATGACTCATGGATTTGGAATTGATTTGGTGGATTTGACTTGGGACACACAAATTTTCCTTTAAAAAAACAAAACAAAACAACAAAAAAAGTTATTCTCAATCAGTGTGTTAAGGCTCCCTGGTGTGCCTTGAGATCCTTTCAAGGGTGTCATACAATGCCAGAACTCTTTGGCATGCAAACATGATTCACAAGATAAACCCCAAGATTTCAAATAGGAATCCATAGTATTAAAAATATTGTGACTTGTTGTGAGTTCTTTGCAACAGAAAAATGCCTCTTTCTTTTTTTCTATAGTCAAAAAAGAGTGAAAGCTAAAAGCTGGCATTTGCTGAGGTGGTGTCTTGCATTTAAAAAGATTGAGAACCATATATTTAAAAGAATACTGAGTTCTGTACTTGTGAACCTTTTTTCTTAAAATTCTCCTTATTCCCATTATAATACTTTGCAAGACAGTGAAAATATTGTTTCTACTGATTAGTGTCCTATTTGCCAACTAGACTTTTTGCGCTGCGTTTCTGATGATGCTTAAAATTAATATATTTTTATAAAAGCCTAATGTATGCATCACTTTCGCAACACAAGTATAAAAATAACATTTAAGTATTGCTTTGAAGGCAGCAGTAAAGAACAAAACAGAAGGCGTTACATGTAGCTCCTGGAAAAACTCTGGCTTTTAAGGTGCATATCTGAAGTATAAGCACCACTTCCTCCTTCCCACATTCCAGCTATAACAGGTCAAATTGGAGTTCTGTGTTGTTTCCTCATAATTCTGTATGAGTAGGTGTTTCTCTAGAAACTCTGGCAATGATGAGGTTGATGCTATCTTATGGCTGTGTTTTTGATGTATGTTCCAGTATGTCAGTTCATGGGTTTTATTTTCAACTCCCTTTCTCCTCCTACACTTTTTTGAAAAGCAGACAGTGTTTTGGTCTTTTTAATTGGCCAGTTGCCACAATGTCAGTTGCAATGCAGGTGATTAAATCAGGTTGGCAGTACTTGATACTGTGGGCATTGTTTGGGGGTTTTTTTTTTCATGCCGGCAATTAAGGGAGCTAATTCTTTTAACCTTGACTTGCCTGATTGTTTAAAAAATGCATAGGCCTAAATGGTACTCAGGCACCAGGGTGAAGATTTTAAAATGGCCTGTACACTTCTCTCAGAGTACATATTAACTGAATATTTATAGATATAATGAGGAGGTGGATGCAGAATTATACATGAAAATAACTTTGTGGGTAAATTCATGGTAATTAAACAGATTAAGCATACTGTAGCAGAAGTTTTCTGTACTGCTTGTAACATGTGTAGTATTCTTACAGGTCCTGCAAGCATAGGCTTACTCAGCCCAGGAATATTGGAATATTTACTTCAAAGCTTGGTAAGTTTTGAAGCAAATTAGTATTCTAAGTTTTTTTTGTTTGGGTTTTTTTTGGTTTGGGGGGGTTGTTTTTTTCTTCAGTATGCGTATCAGGTAAATGTTCTTGATTCTTAGCAAGTGTTATCTTCCTCTACTATCATATTTTTTTAAAACCCTGTTTTTTGTATATAGTCCCTGTCACTTATGATGATTACCTGTCCAACTTTCAACAATCAACGCAAATTATTTTTAGCTTTGTGATCAATGTTGATAATGTTAAACAATCTGATATTAGTTCTAGAAAGTTGTCATTTAATGAATAATCAACAAAAAGTCTTAATGAAAATACCAATGAAAATAAACGTGTTTGTTTAGTACAGAGAATGGCATGATATATAACAGACAGCACTAGGCTGCTAGTGTTGTTCATCCACTGGCATTGGCAGTGATATGATGTGCATGCTGGAGACTACACAGTAATACACATTGATAACAAGACTATTCATTTTTTCATTTCAAAGTACAGGGAACAAATTTGAATAAGTCACCTTATTAGGACTTCAGAGATCAGGCGTACAGTACTGAATATTCCTTTGGAATAATTAAAATGTCCCTGATCCTGTGTGTTAATGTTCTGTGGTGCTGACTGTTCTTTTTCTTTCTAAAATTTCTGTTCTCTGCCTTCTACAAGTATTTCACTAAAAGTATTGTCCTGAGGGTGGGGTGAGGTCCCTGGAGTTACAGGGGTGAATTCTGCCTGTCTTCAGTTAGAAGCAAATCCTAGGCATTTGGGACTCTCATCTGTCTTGTTGGTCAGTATTTTAAGTACAATGCATGTGTTTAACAAAAAAACAATATAAAATAATGTCAAGAGCCTGGCTAGCAAACCTCACCAAATTTTGAGAATGACTGAAAAATAATGCCCATCATATCTAGGTACCAAAGGTAGCTTCAGGCAATCTGACATGCCAGATGGCATACATTACCAGTACAGTACATGAAAAGAAAATGTTTTAAGCCTGAGACTGCATTCCAAGACATTGGGTAGTTTAAAGCCTTTAAAGCAAAACTGACCTGCAAATAGTATTGGAAAAGATTTGAAAATTGTGGGGTGAATATCCAAGCATGAGTTGTATACACTATATTAAGACTTTGGGATCTAAATATACCTGCATGGTATAAAGGGAATGATGTGTAAAATGGAATTAGGGGTCAAAAATTAGTCAGCAACATCTTCATAGGAAGGCAGTAAGCTTGACAGCCATTTTATTCCTTTATAATATGTTGCAGACTGTATACCTTTTTACACTAGCCAAGGATCTCAGCAGCTCTGTACAATGGTAATCTGTGTTTCAGTTTTCGCACCTTTTAAAATGAGGTATTTAATCAAATTTCACCAAGGTCACAGAGCAAGTCTATGTATAAAAGACTGAATAATACCCAGCTTGTTTGACTTGTGTTAATGTTTCACTTACAGCCAATGGCACATAGTCTAGTGTGTGCCTGTGCGTACATACACATCTAGTATATTGCCATTTATAAATAAAAGCTATGGTGCAAAACATGACTATAAAGGAATTTTGGGCCTACGGGTTGAATCAGTAGTATGGTGTTAGTTTTACATCTCTCATACGTTTAAGGCCTGATGTTTCCCCATTTGACCCTCTATTTTCTGTGTCCAATCCTGTGCTCTGGTTTTAAAAAAGGACGTTCAGCAAGGGCTTTGAGTGCTGTAATAGATCTGGGTTTCATTTTCAGGACATACTTTCCATACCAGCCTTCTTGTCAAGGTTCTGTGATATGGGTGGAAGAGATGTTGTTAAGGAAAGCATATGAATGTAAAAATGCATTTATTAGAAATATTAAAATGTGAATTTGACATGTTACTCTGAAACCAGAACTATGCTGTTATGGACACTAGAGTGGGAGGAACTAATGGCAGGACTGGAATGTTCCTATTGAAATCCTGCATTCAGAATGAAAAGGGTATGGAACAAAGGTAGGAGGTATAAGATTGTATATTGTGACTGTAGATGGTTGCTCTGAAGTTCAGAAAAAAGTTCCTAGTAGGGAAGTGATTATTCCCCTCTATTCAGCACTGGTGAGGGCACATCTGGAGTACTGTGTTCAGTTTTGTCCCCCTCCCCTTCTCCAGAAAGGATGTGGACAAATTGGAGAGAGTTCAGCGGAGGACAACAAAAATGGTTAGGGGGCTGAGGGAGGAGGAGAGGATAAAGCTAGACTGTTCTCAGTGGTGACAGATGACGGAACAAGGAGTAATGATCTCAAGTTGCAGCAAGATAAGTTTAGGTTAGACATTAGTAAGAATTTTCTTGCTAGGAGGGTAGTAAAACACTGGAACAGGTTACCCAGGAAGACGGTGGAATCTCTATCCTTGGAGGTTTTCAAGACTTGGCTAGAAAATGCTTTTGCTGGGATGATCTAGTTGGGGATGTTCCTGCTTTGAGCAGGGATTTAGACTAGATGACCTGCTGAGGTCCCTTCCAACCCTAACTTTCTATGATTCTATGAGGCAGGTTTATTGAGCTTCTAGATTAAGGTGAAAGTAGAACATAACAGGGCTAATAATGTTATGATAGAGATCTATCCCTATTCAGAAGGACATGAATGTGGCTTTTTTGAGTAACTAAAGGAAGCATGCAATAGATGGGGTCCAGTGGCAAGGAAAGACTTTAATTGCCTCAATTTGCAGTGGAAAAGCAGTATGACAGTCCACAGCCTGCCATCTTTTTGGAATGCATTGGGGACAGCTGTTTTGCTTCCTGAGCTGGAGGAATTTACTGGGGGGTGGCTTTTAGACCTAATACCAAAAGGGAGGAACCAATTTAGAATCTGAAGAGGAAGGTAATTTGAATGAAAGGGATCATAGAAATGACAGTTTGCTATTCTAAAAATGGAGTGAGCAAGCAGAAGAAGGATAATAGCCCTCAAAAAAGCAGATGAACAGATTCAAAGATCTGGTAGGTAGAGTCTCTTAGAAATATAATTTAAGGGATAAAGGAGCACATAAAGGCTGATGGAGACTATTAAAGATGCTAACAAACTATGGAGCAAAAATATAGAAGGCTTAGTTAAAGACTTTTATGCTTCATCAAGAGCTCTTTCATGACCTGAAATTGAATGCAATAAGGGGCAACAAGGAAATGCAGGCAGTCCTCAGACTTATGACACAATTGGTTCCTGAA